ACTTACTCGTATGTCACCTATGGAATGATGCAGGTTGCACCCACGAAGTGCTGCCCCCAAATGTCGCGCTGGTCAAGTAGCGGTTGAAAAAAATAAATAAAAAAGATGAATCAGACATGAAATTTAAGATCCCACATGAAATTTAAGACCTCCTTATGGAAAATTACAGAATTCAAGACATTTTCAGACCTTAAAAATCGAAAATTTTATTTAAGACATTTCAAGACTTTTTAAGGACCCGCAGGGACCCTGGTGTATATATAAAACAAACTCTACCTGCTGACCAAGACGTATAAATCAAACTTTGTGCGCAGTGTTCGTATTATCATCGAGTAAAACCAAAACCACAAACAAAGTCACAGCCATGTCACCCTGCAGCCCAAGACTGGTTACTCACTGAAGCTAAGCAGGGCTAAGCCTGGTCAGTACCTGGATGGGAGACCACTAGGGAACACTAGGTTGCTGTTGGAAGTGGTGTTAGTGAGGCCAGCAGGGGGCGCTCAACCTGCGGTCTGTGTGAGTCCTAATGCCCCAGTATAGTGAAGGGGACACTACACTGTTAGTGGGCGCCGTCTTTCGGATGAGACGTAAAACCGAGGTCCTGACTCTCTGTGGTCATTAAAATTCCCATGGCACTTCTCGTAAAAGAGCAGGGGTGTAACCCCGGTGTCCTGGCCAAAGTCCCTCTATCGGCCCTTACGATCATGGCCTCCCAATCATCCCCTTCCACCGAATTGGCTCGATCACTGTCTCTCCACTCCACCTATAGCTGGTGTGTGGTGAGCGCACTGGCGCCGTTGTCCTGTGGCAGCCGGCGCATCATCCAAGTGGATGCTGCACACTGGTGGTGGTTTGGAGAGACCCCCCCTCAAGATTGTAAAGCGATTTTGGGTGTATGGCCATACACAATAAATGCGCTATATAAATACACATTACATTACATTACATTACATTACAAAGTCATAACATTACATGTACGTTAAATGTCATACAGCTCATATAGAGCTAAACGCAAAACTATGAGCCAGAATATTTTTAATTATTTGAAATATTTTCCAAGTGATGTTTAAAACAGCAAGGCTATTTATTACAGGATTTTATATTGTGTTTTTTCTTCACAGAATTTCTACAAAGTATGCTGTATACTGTAAACTTGCAGACGTTTTTTGTCACATCCATAACGCATGTTAATTTTCCTCATTCAAAATATAACATATGTTTACACATCGATATTGTTCTGCTGCCACAAATCTGTGTCTAGTAGTTTTGTAAAATAGAAACAGATGTTTTAATATGTTAACATGCACTTCACCGGTCAATTTATGTTTTGAGATTTGTCTGCAAATGTCACATCCATAACGCTGAAATTGCGCATTAATAAACGACTGCGGGACATTTTGTGAATGAGAAATTAAGATGTTGACGTCATAGATCACGTGCCTTTGTTTACTTTTTAGCACAAGCTTCGTTGCTAAACATAACATCGCGATCAGAAACTGTGGCTAAAATGCAAACAGAACTCAACAGACAAGCAGTGCAGATGAAAACAGTCGCTAGCTGATGAAGGCATTTAACGATGCATATTATTATTATTATTATTATTATTAATTTCTCCTTGAAATAAAATTCATGACAGCTCTACAACAGCACGCAGCCCATAATAAACATTACAGTAACTCTCCATACTGTTCAAAAGCTGTAAGTATATATGAAATCAAACTGCTTACCTGCACAACTCCTATCTGCTCCAAGGGGAAAAGCGATGTTGAGTTTATCCTTCAATCATTGCTGATTTCTTCCGCTTTTTAGCTAGCTTTTCTTTGTTTGTACACTCAATAATAGTGTTTCTTTACTCTAATGTCAGGTAGATGCCATGTCGTCTACCTGAGCGCTCTGTTGACGGATGTGACGCAATAACGCGCGCGAAATTCCCGCGATATCCGACCAACAAACGCGGGTTATAACATCGTTTCATGAAGTATTAGTGTCATTAATTTATTTATTGGCAAAATTTCTCGCCACACAATTTTTTTAATTTGGAACAATTGTAATATTTTATATAAGAGGAAATCTATATTCTTTAATAATTGGTTCGGGAACGGTGTGATATTAGTAAAGCAGTTATTTGACAGTAATGGTAATTTATTTACTTACTCTGTTTTTACTGCAAGATATAGTCTTGCCATATCTAAAAAAGAATTTAATATAGTTTGTAAGGCCATCTCCTTTGAAATCTGTATGCTTTTTTAGAAATAATAATAATAATTCATTGATTTCTGCTTGTTCCCTTAATAGTCCTGATTCTACTGTTGTTGGTTCTATTTGTTTTTCCACTAAAAAATCCAATCATAAAATCAGATCTTTATTTTTAGACCATCTCAAATCCTTCTTCTATTTCTTATTGGAACAACCTCTTTGATGATATTAAATGGTCATATGTCTGGTCACTACCGCAGAATTTTTTTTTTAACAAATAAAATTAAAGAAATATCTTTTAAAATTATTCACAGGTTTTATCCTGTTAAACCATTTTTACAAAAATTCAAAAATGACATTGACATCTCTTGCACTTTCTGTGAAACCTCTTCTGAATCTGTTGCTCGCTTGTTTTGGGAGTGTCCCAATGTTAAATCTTTTTGGTCTGATGTAAACTCTCTAATTGTCCAAAAGGTTTGTGGTGATTTTTCTTTAAGCTATCGTCATGTTATTTTGGGGCTATATATTAAAGGAAAAGAATTCCTTAGTGCAACTTTTTGCATAAACCTCATTTTATTTATTGGAAAGTTTTTTATACATAATTGCAAATATACTCATGGTAAGCCTAATTTTTTATTTTTCAAACGAGAACTAGGTCTTTATTTAAAAAACATCACAGACTCTCACAATAAGAAAGCTATTAAAACTTCTAAAATATGTGCTTTATTTAATATTCTGCAATAATTTATTTTATCTTTATGTGCCCTTAATTATTTATTTTTCTTCTTCTTTTCTCTCTCTTGTTCCCTTTAATTTGTTTCACATATATTATATTTTTTTCAGTTTTGTATCTATATTTGTTGTAATGTATTGTTATTATTGCAAAAAAATATATATATATTAGTGTCATTAATGTATTAAACCATGTTAAATTGATCAAATGTGATAGTTAAATGCAAGGATATCTCAATCAAACAAACGTCCAGTCATCAGTGAAATATCTGGAAAATAAAAGGTATCACAAACTGGCCATCTTTGATAAAATCATGAAGTTCTTGATCATAATTTCTGCATTGAGTCTTTACTGATTAAAGACTGAAGTATTAATGTTGGAATATTCAGCTTTACTTTACAGCTATTATGCATATAAATGATATATTCTGAAGAATGCTGTAAAAAAGCGGCCATTTTGACATCTGTAGTAGGAGCAAAACACACTGTAGGCTGTTTTTTCAGCATTCTTCAGAATATCTTCCTTTACGGGATGTTCAATGAGAAAGAAACTCACATATGTTTGGAGGATGAGGATATTATGACCGAATATTCATATTTGTGTGAGCTACGCCTTTAAATTGAGTCAGTCTGGACAGATTATCATGACTAAAATGTCTTTATTCTTCTGTAATGTAATGTATTTTGTGTGTGTGTGTGTGTGTGTGTGTGTGTGATTTCTGCAGTCTCCAGTGTGACTGTGGTTCAGATCCACAGCTGCTGTCCAGAATGAGAGGAATGACACCCTTTGACCTGCTTTATGTTGAATCTGATGCTTTTTTATACATTCACACACACATAGACACGCAGTCTATGACACACACACACACACACACACGCACACACACACACAAAATGCACGCCCTCCAGTGGTGAACTGTACAGTTCAGACACACTCAATCATGTATAATTCAGGTCAACTTCACTGCACATCACTTTATACTTCAATGAATCAATTGATTTTTACTAGTAATGATGATTTATCTTTCGTCCTATTTTAATGTGTGTTGGAATTTCACGTTTATTTTTGGTCATAGATGTTATTTATTTATGTTTTAATCTTCGCAATCTATGCTTAACTTAGCCAATTTTTTAATGGATGCTTTGAATCAGATTCATCAGTGAAATTAAAGTTTATAGGCATTTTTTTTGTTCCAAAACTGAAAGATTCTGCAAAAGAAGATTCAATATTGAGTTAATTTTGTGTTCAATTTAATATACAATGTATAAAAGTCACATTAAATTAATTATAACCTTACATTTCATTTGGTGCATTCCCTTATCCCAACAAGTAAATACGGATTTTATTGAAGATAAGTTATTGATAGAATAGATATCTATCAATGTATACATAATTAGCCAAATTTCCTGTCAAAATGATGAAAACAAATCTGTAATGTTGCTTATTATTAAATATGTTTAAATAAATGTAGGTTTATATTTAAAATGAGATGAAACATTTAATATGAAATAAGCATTACATAAATTATATATTATACGAAATTATGAAATATAAAAATACAAGTGAGACAAGTGCATGCCTTTGTATCAGGTGTCTTTTGTAAATAACAATCTATGGTAGAAATATGCTCACAAGAATAAAGCAATACATGTGAACATAACAGAAATACATATTCAGTTATAATTATGTCTGCTACAGTTAAAAATACAGTTATATGAAAACTACATTCAGAATTAAATACCATACAATTATAATAATAATGACTATAATTATTAATATAATTATAAAAATAAGTATTGTACTGATTATTATTACTGTTATTTAAAATTATATTTAGAATTAATGAGCAATTATAACTAATCATATTATTAAAATAAGATACACACAATCCTATTTAGTGTAAAATATAATTATAAAACTACTTCATTACACTTTAAAACATATTAAAATATCAGTTATATAAGCAATATATCAGTCTTTGGTTGCTAAACATGCACATTTATGTATGTTTCCTTTAAAGAAAACTCAAATGGAAAGCAAAATAGCTTAGAAAACACGCACAGAAACCCAGTATTACCTTATTTTTTTAATAAATGCAACAATACTCCAATTCTGGCAAGAGAATTCAAGTTTTTTTTACAGATTTGGTTTACAAAAGGAATCACACAGAAAATCTTCCCTATTGAACAACTTCAAAAAGTGACTTAAATAATACAGTACAAAAATAGACTGATCCAGGAACAGTGGCACTGTAGTCATAGCCAGTGTTGGGGGTAATGCATTACATGAAATGTGAGTTACATAATGATATGACTTTTCTAAGTCACAAATAAAGTAATGCATTACTTTTAAAAAGGAAGTAAGAATATTTGAGTTACTTTTTAAAAATGTAATGTGAGTTACTTTTTAGTTTAATTAATTAGCTTTAAAAAAATAAAGAAAAACTCATTATTGTTCTGGATTACTTTTCATAAAAAGTAACTAAATAACACAACTACAAACTTGTTTTGTTGAGTAACTCAATATTGTAACTCATTACTTGCCATAAATGTAGCGAAGTAATGTAACTAGTTACTTTTTTGGGGAGTAACTCAATATTGTAACGCATTACTTTTCATAAAAAGTAGCTAAGTAATGCAACTTGTTACTTTTTTGCAGGAGTAACTCTTTGTCATGGATTACTTTCCATAAAAAGTAACTAAATAACCCTACTAGTAACTCGTTTGTGGAGTAACTCAATGTTGTAATGCATTATTTTCCATAAAAATGTAACTAAGTAAAGCAACTAGAAACTTATTTTGATGAGTAACTCAATATTGTAACTCATTACTTACCATAAATGTAACTAAGTAATGTAACTAGTTACTTTCCTTGAAAAGTAACTCATTATTGAAACGCATTACTTTCTATAAAAAGTAACTAAATAATGCAACTAGTAACTTGTTTGGGGAGTAACTCAATATTGTAACACATTAATTTCCATAAAAAGTAATTAAGTAATCCAACTAGTTACTTTTGGGGGAGTAACTCAATATTGAAATGCATTACTTTCCATAAAAATAACTAAGTAACGCAACTAGTTACTTTTTTGGGGATTAACTCAATATTGTAGCGCATTACTTTTCATAAATAGTAACTGACGCAACTAGTAACCTGTTTTCGAGAGTAACTCAATATTGTACTGCAAAGTTGTAATGCATTACACCATTGTAATGCATTACTTACCATAAATTTAACTAAGTATGTAACTAGTTAGTTTTTTAGGGAGTAACTCAATATTGTCACACATTACTTTCCATAAAAAGTAACTAAGAAATCCAACAAGTTACTTTTTGTTGAGTAACTCAATATTGTGATGCATTACTTTCCATAAAAAGTAACTAAGTAAATCAACTAGAAACTTATTATGATGAATAACTCAATATTGTAACTCATTACTTACCATAAATGTAACATAATGTAGTTACAAGTAATGTAACTAGTTACTTTCCTTGAAAAGTAACTCATTATTGAAACGCATTACTTTCTATAAAAAGTAACTAAGTAATGCAACTAGTAACTTGTTTGGGGAGTAACTCAATATTGTAACACATCAATTTCCATAAAAAGTAATTAAGTAATCCAATTAGTTACTTTTGGGGGAGTAACTCAATATTGAAATGCATTACTTTTCATAAACAATAACTGACGCAACTAGTAACTTGTTTTGGAGAGTAACTCAATATTAATATAATGCATTACACCATTGTAATGCATTACTTACCATAAATTTAACCAAGTAATGTAAGTAACACAACTAGTGACTTGTTTGTGGACTAACTCAATGTAGTAATGCATTACTTTGAAATGTAGCTTTCCCCAACACTGGTGTATAATCACAGACTGGCTCTGAGTGATTGTGAAGGCACTGCGGCTCCGCTCCGGCTGTTCTCAGGCCAGTCCCGCGTCTTTGGCCATGCCGAAAAACAGGCCTTTCTGATTCATCAGGTTAGTGGGAGTGTCGAACTCTGCGATCTGTCCCTTATCCAGAACCAGCACTCTGACAAACACAACACACACAAACACTTCACTAAATGGTTCCAGCGCAATACATATATTTTGACCAATATTGTTATTGACCCTTGTGTGCTGTTGGGTTGTTTTCATCCACTCCGGGCTGATTTTGAGGCTTAATTTGACCACAACTTTTTCTGTGTTTTGGCAAATGGGAGGATTTTTGCAGAAACATCTCATTTTGACAGATAATTTGGGGAAATGCTTTAAAAATGTATAAAAACTCCATTGACTTCCATTTTAATTACATTTATTGACTGCAAAGCCATGACAGAAGATAATCATGCATTCTGGAGTGTTGCTGGTTTTCCCTGTTGGAAAGAGCTTTAATCTGTCATTTTAACTGTTGATCAACTGACAGTGGCGACACAGTGCAACTAGTTACTTTTTTGGGCAATAACTCAATATTGTAACGCATTACTTTCTATAAAAAGTCACTAAGTAATCCAACAAGTTACTTTTTTAGGAGTAACTCAATATTGTAACGCATTACTTTCCATAAAAAGTAACTAAGTAATCCAACAAGTTACTTTTTGAGGAGTAACTCAATATTGTAACACATTACTTTCCATAAAAAGTAACTAAGTAATCCAACAAGTTACTTTTTGAGGAGTAACTCAATATTGTAACGCATTACTTTCCATAAAAAGTAACTAAGTAATCCAACAAGTTACTTTTTGAGGAGTAACTCTATATTGTAACGCATTACTTTCTATAAAAAGTAACTAAGTAATCCAACAAGTTACTTTTTGAGGAGTAACTCAATATTGTAATGCATTACTTTCCATAAAAAGTAACTAAGTAATCCAACAAGTTACTTTTTTGGGCAATAACTCAATATTGTAACGCATTACTTTCTATAAAAAGTCACTAAGTAATCCAACAAGTTACTTTTTTAGGAGTAACTCAATATTGTAACGCATTACTTTCCATAAAAAGTAACTAAGTAATCCAACAAGTTACTTTTTGAGGAGTAACTCAATATTGTAACGCATTACTTTCCATAAAAAGTAACTAAGTAATCCAACAAGTTACTTTTTGAGGAGTAACTCAATATTGTAACGCATTACTTTCCATAAAAAGTAACTAAGTAATCCAACAAGTTACTTTTTGAGGAGTAACTCAATATTGTAACGCATTACTTTCCATAAAAAGTAACTAAGTAATCCAACAAGTTACTTTTTGAGGAGTAACTCAATATTGTAACGCATTACTTTCCATAAAAAGTAACTAAGTAATCCAACAAGTTACTTTTTGAGGAGTAACTCAGTATTGTAATGCATTAACTACCATAAAAAGTAACTAAGTAATCCAACAAGTTACTTTTTGAGGAGTAACTCAATATTGTAACGCATTACTTTCCATAAAAAGTAACTAAGTAATCCAACAAGTTACTTTTTGAGGAGTAACTCTATATTGTAACGCATTACTTTCTATAAAAAGTAACTAAGTAATCCAACAAGTTACTTTTTGAGGAGTAACTCAATATTGTAACGCATTACTTTCCATAAAAAGTAACTAAGTAATCCAACAAGTTACTTTTTGAGGAGTAACTCAATATTGTAACGCATTACTTTCCATAAAAAGTAACTAAGTAATCCAACAAGTTACTTTTTGAGGAGTAACTCAATATTGTAACGCATTACTTTCCATAAAAACTAACTAAGTAATCCAACAAGTTACTTTTTGAGGAGTAACTCAATATTGTAACGCATTACTTTCCATAAAAAGTAACTAAGTAATCCAACAAGTTACTTTTTGAGGAGTAACTCAATATTGTAACGCATTACTTTCCATAAAAAGTAACTAAGTAATCCAACAAGTTACTTTTTGAGGAGTAACTCAGTATTGTAATGCATTAACTACCATAAAAAGTAACTAAGTAATCCAACAAGTTACTTTTTGAGGAGTAACTCAATATTGTAATGCATTACTTTCCATAAAAAGTAACTAAGTAATCCAACAAGTTACTTTTTGAGAAGTAACTCAGTATTGTAATGCATTGCCTACCATAAAAAGTAACTAAGTAATCCAACAAGTTACTTTTTGAGGAGTAACTAAATATTGTAATGCATTACTTTCCATAAAAAGTAACTAAGTAATTCAACAAGTTACTTTTTGAGAAATAACTCAGTATTGTAACGCATTACTTTCCATAAAAAGTAACTAAGTAATCCAACAAGTTACTTTTTGAGAAATAACTCAGTATTGTAATGCATTGCCTACCATAAAAAGTAACTAAGTAATCCAACAAGTTACTTTTTGAGAAATAACTCAGTATTGTAATGCATTGCCTACCATAAAAAGTAACTAAGTAATCCAACAAGTTACTTTTTGAGGAGTAACTCACTATTGTAATGCATTGCCTACCATAACAAGTAACTAAGTAATCCAACAAGTTACTTTTTGGGGAGTTACTCAATATTCTGGGTGCTCCGGTTTCCCCCACAGTCCAAACATGCAGTCAAGGTGAATTGGGTAGGCTAAATTGTGTAGTGTATGTGTGTGAGTAAGTGTGTGTGTGTGTGTGTGTGTGTGTGTGTGTGTGTGTGTGTGTGTGTGTGTGTGTGTGAGGATGTTTTCCAGAGATGGGTTGTGGCTGGAAGGGCATTCGCTGCGTAAAAAAAAGTGCTAAATAAGTAAGTTGGCGGTTCATTCCACTGTGGCGACCCCGGATTAATAAAGGGACTAAGCCGACAAGAAAATGAATGAATGAATCAACTGACAGTGCAAGAAAAGCTTAGTGCCTGTCTTTTTATATCGAGTATAGGAAAAGAGTGTGTGTGTGTGTGTGTGTGTGTGTGTGTGTGTGCACCTGGTGTAGTCCATGATGGTGTTGAGTCTGTGTGCGATGGTGAACACAGTGCAGTCCTGGAACTCTGTACGGATGGTGCTCTGGATCAGATCATCCGTCTCCAGATCCACTGCAGCCGTCGCTTCATCCAGAACCAGGATACGAGTCTTCCTGAGCAGAGCACGAGCCAAACACACCAGCTGCCTCTGACCCACACTGAACACACACACACACACACACACACACACACACACACATTAGTTTATCTCATACAGTATTGTAAGACGTATAGTGTATTGATGTTTGAGTCAACGATTGATTTTAATGATTTATTTATAAAGTCTAAATGAATCATGCGTGTTGAACACATTGTTTGAGTGAATGTTTCCGCGCTGCAAGAAAAAGTTTTAGTCTTGTTTCTAGTCCAAACATCTAAACAATCTGTGGAAAGCTGTTGATTATTGTGTTTTAAACCGTAAGCGTCACCTGAGGTTTTCTCCTCCTTCTGAGCACTCCAGCTCCAGTTTGGCAGCCTGATTGGTGACGAACTTCTGCAGATGCGAGAGCTCCAGAGCTTTCCACACTTCTTCATCACTGTACCTCTCAAAGGGGTCCAGATTCATGCGCAGCGTCCCGGAGAACAGAACTGGCTCCTGAAACACACACACACACACATGAGAGACAAACAGGGCGGGACTATCAGTCATTTAGGACGGGGCTGTCAGACCTTTAGGGCGGGGCTATCACTCATTTAGGTGAGGGTTGTCAGTAATTTAGGGCGGGGCTATCAGTCATAGATGGATGGATGGATGGATGGATGGATGGATGGATGGATGGATGGATGGATGGATGGATGGATGGATGGATGGATGGATGGATGGATGGATGGATGGATGGATGGATAGATAGATAGATAGATAGACCCTAGGAGTGTGTAAATGAGTGTGTATGGGTGTTTCCCAGTACTGGTTTGCAGCTAAAAGGGCATTCGCTGCGTAAAACAAATGCTAGAATAGTTGGCGGTTCATTCCGCGGTGGCAACCCCTGATAAATAAGGAACTAAGCCGAAGGAAAATTAATGAATGAATAAATGTTTTGTGCTGTCATCATGGCAATAATAAAAGAAATCAGTTATTAGAAATGAGTAATGAAAACTATCATGTTAAAAACATATTTTTGTTAAATATTAGATGGGAAATATGTAAAAAAGTAGTTAAATTCCACCAGTGGGCCTATAATTGTGTCTTCAACTGCATATTTGTGTAGTGAAAATATTGCAGGAGGGCTGTAAATGCATTCATTTCCCACACTTCAGCATTTGAGTTCCTGTTAAAGGGTGAAACGAGGTTAAGAACAGCTTTTACTAGAGCAAACAAAGCTCAGTGCTAATAATCTGGACAGCAGCTAACAGGCCATTAGCATTATGGAGCAGCGCAGGCTAATTGCGGTGTGTTTGATGGGGTTTTGGCTGTGTGTGTGTGTGTGTTTGTGCTGAGCCATCATGAATGAAACGCTCTCCTGCAGCGGCGGCTGAATTAAACCAGATGCTGGAGCGGCGTCACACACACCAACATGTAGAGCTGAAGTCAGGATGATTCGCCCTCCTGTGAATTTGTTTTTCTTTGTTCAATATTTCCCAGATGATGTTGAACAGATTCAGCAGTTGTTCACAGTGTTTCCTCTTATATTTGTTCTTCTGGAGAAAGTCTTACTTGTTTTATTTCGGCTAGAATAAGAGCAGTTTTAGACCCATGTTAAGCTCAATATTATTCGCCCCTTCAGCAATATTAGTGTTGGATTGTCTCCAGAACAAACCACTGTTATACAATGACTTGCCTAATTACCCTAACTTTACCCTAATTACCCTAGTGAAGCCTTTACATGCCACACACACCTGAGGGATGATGGTGAGTTTGGAGCGCAGGTCATGCAGGCCGATCTCTGAAATCTTCACATCATCGATGACGATTTCTCCAGCCGCCGCTTCCAGGAGCCGAAACAGACACAGAGTCATGGAGGACTTCCCGGCGCCCGTGCGGCCCACAATGCCGATCTGCAGAGACACACACACACACACACACACACACACACACACATATATGCGGTACAGTCTTCTCATTTTATATGTATATAGTAGTGTATTTACATATATTTATATACTAGTCATTTAGTGTGGAGCAATCAGCCATTTAGGGTTGGGCTATCAGTTATTTAGGGTGGGGCTATCAGTTATTTAGGGTGGGGCTATCAGCCATTTAGGGTGGGGCTATCAGTTATTTAGGGTTGGGCTATCAGTTATTTAGGGTGGGGCTATCAGTCATTTAGGGTGGGGCTATCAGTTATTCAGGGGGGGCTCTCAGTTATTTAGGGCGGGGCTGTCAGTCCTTTAGGGCGGGGCTGTCAGTCCTTTAGGGCGGGGCTATCAGTCCTTTAGGGCGGGGCTATAACTCATTTAGTGCAGGGCTATCACTTATTTAGTGCAGGGCTATCAGTCATTTAGGGCGTGGCTGTCAGTCCTTTAGGGTGGAGCTATCAGTCATTTAGGGCGGGGCTATCAGTCATTTAGTGTGGAGTTTATGAATATTTTTATTAAAATAAAATAAGAAAGAGCCTATTGTAGTGCTTCCTCCTTCAGGGCGAGTGTGTTTTTTCACCTTTTCTCCTCCGCGGACCTTCAGAGAGATGTTCTTCAGCACCAGATCCAGACCTTCTCGATATCTGACGCTGTAATCCACAAACTCCACGTTCCCCAGCGGAGGCCAGTCTGGAGGAGGCTTCTTCTCCAGCACCTCCCATGGAGCCTGAACACAACAGTTCAGGTTAATCTCACATATATAAATATACATATAAGGGTTCAGAAATAATCTAAAAATAGTAAGTGTAGCAGATTAACGCAGACACAAGTGTTGCTCGTGCATTTTGAAATCTGCTTTGTAATAAAGCCAGTGTGTTTGTGTCT